CCACGCTTGGGCGGGCGTGCGCCGGAGCTCTCATGACCGGAAGAAGCATGGTGGTTTGTTGCTGAAGTTGTTGCTGTGTTGGGGTGGAAGACGGACGACTAGGAGAGGCTGATGGTCGCTGGTACTGCATGGACTGTGGGTGAATGGATGATGAAACTGGAGAGACCTGAACCAATGACTGCTGCCTTTGCGGTTGCTGTTGAGACGACATGGTGGTTGAAGTGGATGATGGAGGAACAGCGGTAGGGGGTGGGAATAAAACAGTGGTAGGTTGGTTTTGAGAATACAGGGCTGGAAGTGCCGCATTGGCCGGGAACATGGATGAGTTGGGAGGCAACAGTTGAGATGAATGAGCAGTGGGGAGGTTTGTGGCAAAAGCAATGTGAGTTGCATGCGTTCCAGGCTGGAGTTGGATGGGCTGACCTAACAGCTGTGTACCTCCTGGGGACTGACCCAGAATAGTGGCCGTCCCATGAGGGCTGGAGGTGGGGATTGTGGCTATGGTAAATTGTTGGCCCGGTTCGAATGTCATCCTGGGGTCCAACTAAAAAAGGTGAGAAATAGGTTGCAAACTCAGAGGAGGAAAAACATGTTCAGTTCAAAAGCGTCATCACTCGGGCCACTTCTGAAGACCAATCCCAAAAGATCACAACAATGTGTTGGGAAGTAAACTCGCTACGTGCAAAGTGCATGCATGCGTCCTTCATGGTGGCATGCATACATACTGCAGATACTACAGAAGTTTCCTGTTTGAAGAATAGTCGGTTGACACAGCACTAATCAGATCAGTCTCACCACCACAACAATTATGCAAAAGAGGTCAGTCTTAAATGAGAAGAAACAGCTCACCGGTTCCAGATATACTGTCTCCCCGCTTGCCGGATTGATAACTAGACTGCCACAGCCACCTTCAGTTCCGGCGGATGTTAGCGTTGCGCCAGTAATGCCAGCACATTGTCGATCGAAGTCCGCACCGGGCGCGAGCAATGTGACTGCCGTCTGACGAAGACCTTCAGCGTTCGTGCCTCCGGTCAACATAGTGGGAAGCATTAGAGACACCGTTGAAGAGGAAACGGACTTCAGGAGGGAATCCGGCGCTGTTATGTAAGCAAGGTGAAGAAATAATACATAAGTTCAAAAAATTGCTCGTCTCGTTATAACAAGGTTAATTAAACCGGGAGTGATGACCAGCAGCCCATTTGAAAGAGATCAAGTAGGATTCGAACTTGGGTTGTCGAAATGGTAACCTACAATGTTACGTATCCTGCCACTCGGACCGAAGAGTGGAGACGAAAAACACTGTGTAGTTACGCCCGTTCAAACGATGGGTAGTGCACTGATGTCTACAGGAGTGTTGCCCGTAAGTCGTGATGCACCGTAAGATTCATGAGAAAAACCAAGCCCCCTTTCAATCGGCGGTCTCGGCTGAAGATTATTAAAACATTAACAAGGTTTATCCGGAACGCATAAGTTTGACTGTACCGGCCAGCTCCAATAAACGTAACAGACTTCAAAAATGATCAACAACGAACGGTCTGTGTCCTGACAGACTAATAAGCGGTGTTTCATGTCATCGTCCCATGGACCCATGGTCATGAAATGCGATCTGGAGTACGAGAAAGCATGCACCTCTACGCGCATCACTTTGGTGTACATATAGTTCAACACATTGATTTTTTGCATCTGTTAAAGATCCTCAGTAGTACTTCTAAGACTCACTGATCAGCCAGTCTCAGGTTGTGGTCCAATGGATGCTGATGGTACAGGGTCTTCGAATTCTATCATATTATGCTTACTTATCATTTGTTCGCAAAAATGGTAATGGAACTGCGGGCTTGTATACAACACCGCACTGGGATCCGTACAAACTGTTTGAGACTCAACAAATGGGTACGCGTATCCAGTGAATTAACCATTATCCGAATCCTACCCGGATGTCAGCTATTTCTGGTGCTTCGAGTACGAAACAGACCAAAATGTAATCCAGGAAGTAGGAAAATCAAGCAAATAATCCACATAACTTTAGCCGATCGTTTGCTCATGGGGGTTTTCAACTCAAGCGAGCAACACTAAAACCAGGTGCGGAGATGGTGAACAGCCCAGGGGGAGAAAACCTGTTTCGTGCAATGGTCTGCTGATGGGAGTAGGTTAGATAGGTCGATGAGTCAGTGTAACCGATGCTACGAGCATACCTCGGCCGAAAACTGATTAGCAAACAATGAGGCACAGGTCAATCTTTAACGCTAGCTTGCGACTCTAACAGCAGGTAATTTGGGCTTTGCTTGTGACATCATAAAGTACTTTCGGAATTGAAATGCATCCAAAACACATGGTGCGAACACTTCCGAGAGTTTGGGTATGTCCGCTCTCCTTTGCAATTTCTGTGGGAGTCTGAAAGGTACCCTATTTTCTTGACTCAGTATGATTCCCCTCAGAATAACTCCCTTCGAACGTTTAACTCATCTACCACTGTGACTAAAGCTGTGACGTGTGACGATACAATATGTTTTACCAAGAAAAAAATTGCCCAGTAATATGATTATGGCTAGTACCGTGTTAGAAAACTAGCAGGGAGTATGTACACCACTCCAGAATATACGTAAGGCAACAAAAAACAAACAAAAGAGCGTAACGAATCAGTGAGCAGCGACCCAAGCAAGGAATGTCAAATTTACCAGACGTGTGAGCGATGAAAGTAGGCTGCAGCTGCGTTTGATGATCAGCAAACTGAGCTGCCGTGGCCAAAAGGGTGCCAGGAGGACCAGAGGTAAATATAAGACCAGGGATGGAGGACGAAGAAGGTAGCAGATTGGCGGGAACAAGAGCCCCAGTCGCTGTGAGAAACGAACCAGATACTGCGGCCAAAGCAACTGGGGCATCTGCAGAAAGTGCTGTGGAAGTGACAACCAGGGATGAGTCAACGTTGAGATTTGAGTTGGAACTAGCCACTTCATTGGAAGGAACTAGAGATGGGAGTCGCTGAACGGACGGCTTTTTCTCGTCCAAACTGACCACGGAATCACCGACCTCTGCTTCTTCAGTGGGTACCGGACTGCTTGGATGTACCTGTTTCCGGTGGCGTCGAAGGTTTGAGATGCAAGCAAAACTGACCTCACATTTCGAACAGGAATAGGGACGATCACCACTGTGTACCCGGCTGCAAGAAAGAAAATTACCAAAAATTCGAAATGAGTAATTGCAACCAATGAGAGGAAAAACCTAAGAAGTTAAGTTTACAATTCTTGGACTCGGGATTCGGAAATGTCATCTGAAAACCCCGTCCAAAGACAGATCACGCAGCTAACGGGCATGGAACTAGCAATAGTCAAGTAATCGAATACATAAGCGGACCATCGTAAATGAGAGTTTGCGCTGGATTGAGTTGAGCCTCCTGTCAAAACCGAATTCGTGTACAAATGAGATTATTCGACAAAGTCTGTCCAATTTGGGTTCAAATAGAGCAGAACATTAGGTTGAGGGAAAATCGAGGATTGCGCCTACCTGAAAGGCCCCATGAAGGGCGAAGCCGGCCGTAGGCTGTCGAAGAGTTTTAAACAACCTTATGAGTAGTGGGTTACGTCAGACTGAAATGATTCTCCCTCAAAGACTGTTAGTGTGAGAAGCGCCTGCGGTAGATATGGAATCCATGCGAGCCGTTCAAAGAAGAACTTGATAGCACTTATGTGGGGGATTCACCTCTGCGAACCGTATTTCCACAGCCACAGAAGTGCGCTTCTGTCGAATAATGCCATTTGCACACCAGGTTCACGAATTAACTATACAAACAACTGCCAAAACAATCAAAAAATTTTTTACGTCGGTGAGAGACTGGGCCGCCAAACTGTATCTTGTCAATATCAGTATAATTAACTAGTTGATCTGGAAGAGAATGCTGATAACTTAGTTGCTGGTCGAAATTTTCGGTAAGCATCGTATTTCTGTTACCAACGTTTTGTCATCAAATGATGTGACATCAATGGTCGCGTTATGAAGCTGAGGGACGATAAGCGTCGGTGATCGTTTAGCAACCTTCGATTATGACTGTTTGCCCCGGTGAATAGTCTTAATGATCGGATAGTTCTCTAGTGCCTTGAGTGGCCGATGTCCAGCTGACCTTGGAGCTTAAGCTACTCGATCCTCACTGAGCCGACCCACGGTTGGGTCCGTTGTCTGATCTGTTTGTCGCGCTGGCGCTCAGCTAACCTGAAGGCAACCAATCAAAATAAAAGGTCACCGTCCTTTCAAAAGTAGATGTATACACGCCACTACTCAAACCATAGCCACCAAAGCTTATCTCAGCTTCGCTTGAAAACGTGTTGATAATCTCATTTCGATTGCTACCCAACGGTGTGCAACAACATTTCCGAGATCAGAAAACAATGGCCTAACATAGTAATCAGATGTGTTGGAGAAAACCAATCGGCCAACTTCAGCCGGCTAGTCAGATCTACGCTAAGCAGCTCAGCATTTCGATGAACGGTCCTCAGGAGACGCAAATGGACTACCGAATAACATATCAGCATGAGATTCAGATGAAGGGCAATTACCAACCAGGGTCTTTTACCCGAACATTATTAGCCCCAATTGTAGATACGGAACTGCTGCTCTAGTGAAACGTAGGTAAAGGTGAACGAGGCTGAGTGGAAAAAGGATGTGATTCTAGTATGGGGAGACGAACAGGCCAACACCTGCAAGTATCGCGCGCGGTCATCAGACTTTATTATTAAAGAAGAGGAACGGGGTATTGGAGAGGACGATCAATGCATATGAACGGAAAATCTTACAGATGGGCGGCTAAATGGTGTGGCTGACTGAACCGACGATCACAGGCGGTGCAGGGATAGGGACGTTCGCCAGTATGAACGCGCATATGAACAGCCAAACGAGCAGCCCTCGGAAAGCCTTTGGCGCACACCATGCAAATATAAGGACGTTCACCGGTGTGACGTTTCACGTGTTCGTTATAGACAGCAGGTTGGGAGAAGGTTTTAGCGCAGACAGAACAGCGATAAGGGCGTTCACCTGAAGGAAGATAAAGACAGAAAAACAGTCAGTTTAGTTTGTTTTACCCAGCAGTAGAGTGAGGCGTAGCCATCCGAATAGACACTAGTGGGTAACTCCTAGTAGGTACTTCTGAGGCTACCTGTGGACACCGCCATCAACCAGATCACCTCAGACTGACTACCGTTTGACGGCTATCTGACTACTTCCAGAAGTTCAGATGAGAGTGGCTCGAACAAAGTCTTCGCTGCGCATGTCACAATCAAATCCGATACCCATCATTCTGGGCTCTTCATATGTTGTGTTGTTTATATCTAAAGACAGGGCTGGATCGATTGCCGCAGATAGAGTTACTATCCGTGATATAAATGGATCCGATTCATCCTACCGCTGGAATTAGTTGTAATGATATAAATCGAGTAAGAAACAAGTTACACGGGATTTACAGTTGGTGCGAGATACGACAACCTGTTCTACGAGACTTTTCACAGTGAAATTGGTATCCGTATTGATGTGTTGGGTGACATTTGCATGCGCCATAATACGAAGCACGTAGAGTGATGTCAGCATTCATCGGCCCGAAAAAGATACGCGTTTTCGTGGAGTATCATCAACTGGAGTTCCAACTGTGTTCTTGGAATCCGGAAGGCTGTAATTGCTGCGCTATGTAAACGTTGTACCTCACGAGCGAAAAATCCAACCGACCAAACAAAATGTATTTACCGGACTCTGAAAATTCCCATGGAACCGGATGGCACATCAAGTGCGGAAAAAGCTATGGGCAACTTAGTTGCTTGGAGGTGAGGTTTGTACGATGAGACCGAATCGTCTGGCAATCTGCTGCCGATCCCAAAGGCAGAGGGTCATTTACTAATGGGCGTTGCTTCTCTGTAAAGGGACCAGAAGCTTGTTGAAAAACGAACCCCTGCTATATGGCAACGAAGTATCAGTGTTGAAACTGATGTTAAACGTTGTACCTCACGAGCGAAAAATCCAACCGACCAAACAAAATGTATTTACCGGACTCTGAAAATTCCCATGGAACCGGATGGCACATCAAGTGCGGAAAAAGCTATGGGCAACTTAGTTGCTTGGAGGTGAGGTTTGTACGATGAGACCGAATCGTCTGGCAATCTGCTGCCGATCCCAAAGGCAGAGGGTCATTTACTAATGGGCGTTGCTTCTCTGTAAAGGGACCAGAAGCTTGTTGAAAAACGAACCCCTGCTATATGGCAACGAAGTATCAGTGTTGAACACTGATGTTATGCTGTCGATGAGGTGGGATACAGTGAGATCCGAAATAATTGCATTGAAGATTCATTTTAAGGCTATTCTCAGGTAGAGAACACTCACAGCAAAGATTCACTATTGATCTGCAGTAGCTCAGGTAACGAAATGGATGAGATTCTGATAAACATAAGTTCGCCACGCTATTCAAAGAGCCAAACAATTGTTTCAATTTGGAACAGAGGTGATACATAGATAATCTTAGTCCAATGTCCAATGTGCACTTCCTTCCAGTTGATTCGGCAGCTTCAGTCATCTAGTCTAGAATAAAGATACCGCAACAGCAACCACAACAATGATAAAGGTTCACACTGACACAATTATCGTCGGTTCGTTGAGCATGCAGGGGTGGCGTAGATCGATAAGCCCATTTTATGAATAACGGATCAATATATTACCATTTGCCTGCAACAAACGAATAGGAGGAGCAGAATGTAATCTGTTCCAATTTTACCACATAATTGGGTAGACACTGAAGGATGCGTAAGTTGGTTGAATTAGGAGGGTGAAAACTGCCACAAAGTTGGCCTCTGATATTATGCTGTGTTAAAATGTGTTCCTGATTTCGTCGCATAGGTTTCACCCTGGCATTAGGCGAATTGTCGTGAGTATTCTACCCCCATATGGCTACCTCGGGACAGTAAATTAATCTGCTATGGGCTCTTCGAATTAAAATCGGCAAGGCAAGCAACTGGCGAATTTGACGGGTCCGTTCTTGAAAGGTGCTCAATTTGAATGAATGAGCATTGGTCGACGCACGGGTGACAATATCACCTAAAACTGCGCTTCACCCTGATTGAGGGACGTCAGTCGCAGTCAATGTGCATGTCCGAACGGGAAAAGTGATTAGAAGACGTCGATTCACAATGATCGACGGGCTCGTCAAAAATTAACAACCGAGTGTGTAAATAATGTACACTGCATGCCATCTGAGTCCAAAACTGGTAGCGCAAATCAGCGTAGGCAAACGGTTTATGGACGTCCATTTTTTTGTCGTTCCTGTACATTTGGACGGGTCGAACTGCTCATAGGCATCAGGAATTCCGGGACAGGTGAATCATTACACGACATCACTAACCAGTATGTATCCTTTTGTGTCTATTCATGTTGGGCCAATCGTTGAACTGACGACCACAATAGCAGCACTGGTACGGTTTCTCTCCGGTATGAATGCGCCGATGTTTCTCTAGATAGCGTAGAATTCGGAATTCTTTGTCACAATCTGTACAGCGGTAGGGACCGATTCCGTGCGCCTGCTGTTTGGTGGAAGAGGACGAACTGGCAACTTCCGTGGATGATGGACTACCGCGTCCGAGAGCCAGAAGTGCGGTGGAGACACACAGTCCGGGACGAGTGGAAGCCACTGTAGTGAGGTTGGACACAGTGTTAGTTGCTACAGGAGTCGCTGATTGGGTAACAAATGATTCCATGGAGGCCAGTTGAGGAGGGAAGGTAACTGAAGAGAGTTCGGAGGAGGTAGTTGTCAAGAGGGGGTCTGACGAGTCCAGGGTTGTGACAGAAACCTGTGTGAGACACTCGGTTGGCTCAGGCTTCATATCCATCGAGTCATCGGGGATCTGGAAGACAAAAGAAATGGAGAATTGTATTGATAACTCATGGAAAATGACACTGGAAATACAAATTCGGACCGGCTTTCCAACCAGTGAATTACCATGGACGTGCTCCAGAAGTCACCCAATTGTACATATGTTTCGTCAAACTTCTAACTCTACTAGTACCGACGACACACTCGCGTAACGTAAAAAATGAGCCAACCATCAACGTAGCCTATGCAGCTAGATGACAACTGTTTTAATTTTTGCTGGATCGGTTGTGATGGGATGGAGACAGCATAACTCGCCTCTGTTGAGTGTACAAATTCGGACGGATGCTTTACATGAACAGCTCGGCGTGGCCACTTGTTTCCTCCAGCTCATTTATCCCCCTGTTGTTTAAATACAATAAACAGAAACAAAAACAAAAGTTGTTGGACGGAATAGTGCTCTACCACTCGCCGGTATGCTCTGCGACGAATAAGAAACGCAATTCACATGCAACTGTCTTTCGTCGCTTGTCGATCCAGCTTCAAGGCGATTTCTGCTTGTTCGAAAATGTGGACTCAACAGCCAATCACGACTCAGTATCCGCTGAACACCGGTTGCCAATGTCGCGTCCAGAATGTATGAGAATTTCCATGACCTTGTCACCGTGTACACTTTAAATACGATGCACTGTACATGTGTTTGTGATCTGGTTTTGGGCGTGTAACACACTTTGTGCACCCTTGGTGCTTCTTTTGCTGGAAACGCTAGCTTGAAAGGATCAGACCGATAACTAAGCCGAGGCATTACCGTTATTACAATGCGATAAGCTTTTAGTTTGCGAAAAGGTGTATCAGCAACGCTAGCAACATCCATGGAAGCAACATTCTTGTAGGACGTCGGTGCGCCATTGCTGACGAGGTTTACAGAATACATTACCAACGTAAAACGGTTTATGAAACCACTGTGCCCCAAAGACCGAACATTGGTGAAGTCTGATATCGAACCCTAACAAACCGCTCACGCTGACTGCCCAAAATTTCGGGTCAGCTCTGCAGTATTGATAAAAGTAGGGGTAGAAGTAGACACTGAGACCTATACAATGTGACAAGAACCTCCAAACACGGTGTGTCCAACAACTAAAGCAACCGATCACAAGCACAGCTTGAACTTATAGGGATGGCATCTGAACAGGCATTTTTACATCAACTTGGTGAATTCGCTTTAGCTCATGGGATTTCAATGGATTCTATCAGATTTCAAAAGCATTTATCTATTAACTCTGAGACTTCTGAGTCCAAGCAATGCGAGTCTATCCGTCGTGGAAGTTGAACTTCATTCTAAACTGCACGTAATTTCTCAGGAAACTCATATTCCACAGATGCTAGGATAATAGCCTAGAACATGAACGCTGAGGCTAACAGTACACTTCTCGTAGTTGTGTACGTTTGTTTAAGAATCAGCAGTTCGGCAACATGAATATGACGCCCACTTATTTTTTATCTTTCTGTTAGGGACACAACAGAGACCGCCTCAAAAGGCTGACTAAAAAGGTCATCTTGGGGGGAGGGGGTAATAAGAGGTGCTCTCCCTGATAGTAGCGGTGGTTGGACGATAGGTTTGATAGCACGGGGACAAACATATTCCGTACAGCAAAGATATTACGCAGAGCGCATTGTGATTAGGAACAGGTGAAGAGATTACGATTTGCGACTTTAGTCGGCTAAATCCAAGCCACTGTCTAATATTCATCCACTAAGTGCGTGACAAGACGGACTAGACTGTGGCATCTCTTGGTCAACGTAACGTGAGTCTAGATCACATCGTGGATCAACACTAAAAGGGTTGAAGACGGTACAATTAGGCCCGAACGTGTGCGCAACACGATTAGTCGCGTTTGTATATTATACAGTAGCGCTTGGGATTTTACGATAGCTTGAAAGCCAGCTGTGAGTCAAGCACCAAGACAGTGCTCACGGTGCAAGATACTGATACAGGGTTTAAGCAGATATCATCTGCAGAAATAATGGGTATATATCACAAGGCGTTCGTACAACTGATTGACTTGTTTGACTGACTCGAAGAGAAATGAAACTATTCCCGGACATTACTGAAGAGATATTACAAGTAAGCATGGGACTGCGGAATAGAAAGGCAGATAGAGAATACATGCTTCAGGGAAACGCACCTCTTCAAGCGAACAACAATATATTTAGCAGTCTGTCTAGTCTTGCCAGAGTGTGGGAATGTCAATCGATAAAATTTGGCTACACACGGAACGGGTTCTCTCTAAGGTGGAACCACTGCATCAAGCACTTTTCCCCAAACCCTGTGACCAAAAGTGTTATTCGAGACCATAGGCAGCATATACACTTTTTCCCCTCAAACTGGCACTCCGAATTGCTCATAAGATACATAGTGCGATTACACTACATAATTCAATACGGAATCTTGTAACTAGACAAATGCTCGATTATTGGGCGTCAAATGGAGTCGAGTGCAGTGCATCGTAGGCAAAGGTACAAGGCCTCTAAATCCTGCACAAATCAGGTTTAATGTTACATTCGAAATGTCGATGGCTCCGACCAGTAAGGTTAATTACTGCCAATTAACACGCGTTGCACGGCGGGAAACGACCAACATGTACCGTAATTGCTTCACTGCGATCCGAGTCATGGATAGTGATCTCGTTGCTGCTTTTCTGTCCATTGCAGCGGGGACCGGGAGCTGTTGTGGAAGACGCGTCCTCTGAAGCGATTGAGCTGACGAATTCGTTGCAGCTGGTGTTCAGGAGTGTGGTGGTGGTGAGGGGTTCATCAGAGACAGCGGATGTGCAAATATAGGTCATGTGATCTGAATTGGAGGCAGAGGTAGTGACTGGAGACTGGTAGATGCCGGAACTGCTATGAGAGGCTTGCATAATGGGCAATAAGAGGGTGTTGCGAACGCTCGTGTCAGTTCCGCTTGTGACAATAGTCAAAGTTTGGATGGAAGGAGCAGCGGCTTCTGTAGAAAAACACGATGTACCAGTGCTAGGAACAATTTTCATGTTTTCTTTTGGGCTGTTATCTAAAGGGAATGACACGAAAAGAAAATAATCTCAACGTCGAAACTGATGAAAACAATAACAATAACATCAAAATCACATACGGTAAGGTAGCATCTGAAAGCGGAACAAAGAATGGGTCTAGTGTTAGCTTGCCAAAATCCTAGGACTGAGACTGAATGAACGCATCAGCAACCAAGTTGTTCAGGGTCTTCCAACTACACACGCACTATCTATCATTTCGTCCTCATCAAACCGAAAAAGAACAGTGAAAACGGCGCTCATACTCAGAGTCGACAGTCCTACGGCACAAGGGTATCGCACTTTCTAATGCCAGATTTAACTCCCTCCCCATATACATGGATATATATATAAGGTTTCCACCCCGATGCTATCATCACTCAGGGTGACAGATGCCGTCTGTTACGGTCTTTTTCACAGTGGTGGTTCACAAATGTTCACAGAACTTAAATTTTACATGGTTCAGCCTGAGCTATGGCATGTATGAACCACAGCCTTACTATCTTGAGCCGGTTGTGGGACCTGAAATAAAATAAGACACCATAGTGCCAGGTGGTGCCGCGCGATCTAGACAGAACCGATGTTAAAGGGCCGTATGAGGGTAGAGTAAAAAGGCTTGGATATTTGGTAGTAGTGATGAAGGACCGGGCTTAAAATGCAACAGGAGCACGTGGGGTGCGGAAGCCCTACGAAAAGCACCAGCAAAGTCACGGCCTGTGAGAAAACACGGGTTCAATTATTTACCACATTCCGAATGAGACTGAAGAACAGGCCGGAATAGAGTTATAACGTCGGAATGCGACAGAACCGGCGACTGACAAGCGTAATGAGAAGATTGATCGGGAAAGTGCCACACAATTCGACTACTCATGAGTACATTGAACCAATTTAATATCCGAAGCATTCGTTTGCCGCAAGGAGCAGACGGCCGTTGTCCGCACAGGATGAGCAGAATATCTCTTATCGTGAGTGGAACGAACGCGTTCGTCAAACGATCACTGGAGTTTTCACAATGCTTAAGTTACTTTTATTTTTTTGTTGGTAAGTTGTCTTGCGTACGGTTGAGGTGGACCTTCTTACCTGTCGTCGATAGGTTAGATGAATAAGTCAATTGGCATAAAGCAAGCTAATGAGCTATTGTACCGTGAAAAATTCATTGTTATTCAATGGTTTGCATTTATCACCCGTTGATGAACACCACGTTCGACTGGCTCCCAAATGCACCACTCATCTTCGATGACCTGTGCTCCGCAGCCTATGTAAGGCCAGCAAGTGCTGGTCTCTGTTATTAAGTGAACTAGTTCAACTGTATGGTAGAAAAATTCTGTAGCAACATTTCACAGTGGACTAGTAATCTCATCCATACAAATTACAGCATTACCGAAGTCCATAAGTCACACGTTTTGCGTGGCCCATGGAGTCTGACGTACTATAAATCTGAGTGCAGCGGTCATCCAAGGCGGGGACCACAAATAAGTAAGCTCCGGGATCGACAATTCTCTGCATTGTTTAGTGGTTTCTCTTGTTGCAGTTTGATCCATCCACGAATGATTTCCAGTCCACCTCAAATTCCCGGTTCCCATTTTCACAAAGGATTATACTACGTCGGTCCAAGTGTCATGCAATAGCAACGAAACTGATCTCGTGTTCACAATGTGATCACGATGCATGACGCGTACCCGTCCACTGATTGCAAGGTTGTGAATTGCTACTCAGGAGGTCCCGGTATGTATAAAGTTATTACTACGCCACATGTAGCAGGTAACAAGCGAAAATCGAAGCTAACATCCAGTACGGCAGGTCTGGTGGGAGGACAGATGTACAACGGACACACATACCAAAAAATGGGGAAAAGCTGAGTGTTTCTGAGCTAAACGTGAAAGGTCAAGCAAGCATGTTGCCGTTGCCTGGGTAGTTAATGGAAAAAATGGACAAAACCAGGATCTTGGTAGGGTTAGTGCCAAAAAGAAAACCTACCGGTCCTATACTGAGTTTGGGTGTCGTAAACCAAGTGGCCTGGTTGTTCGTTATCGGTAATCAACCGATCAAAGCGGCCGCCTTGTTGCACCACAGACCAGTTCCAAAGACAACTGCTTTAGCGTGATTTTGTGGTACTTGAGGGTGGATCATTACCATTTGTATCAAAATGTAGGTTTGCTTTTCTGAATGTTGGTACTGGATTTTGGAGTTCACTAGACCGGATCCTAAGAACACAAAACTATTTAGTGTGACCTAGAGATTAAGGGCGACAAGATACATGCCAAAGCCCCGGTTATAAGATGTCTTGATTTGTAGCTTTAAACTGTCCAGCTCTTGCAACTATCAGTTATCGGAACTAAATGGAAACAAGAAAGGTCTCCCAAATCCAATGAAAAACCCAAATCAAGAACGATGAAAAAAAACGCGTGGTACCACCAGTAGGAAAAACTCAAGCTGATTTGTGGAAATGTATCCAATGCATCTTTGAAAGGTTGCATGTCAGTGAGTAGTGCGCTTTTTGCTACTTGTTAGTTCCATCAAATCGCGAATGAATGTTCACACATTAGGGGAATCCTGATTATAGAGTTCATGTTGAAAAACATGAGTAAAAATTGGGGCTCTAGTACAAACCACTACCAGTTTTATCCAACCCCTCTATGAATGATGAACAAAACGGTGAATCTGTTTAACGGAGCTCTCGATTACCATTTGTTTCATCCCATCTGGCGCTCAAAATGGTAATTTATGCTGGAATGCAATAAGCTGAGCGTTGGAAAGCCATTTCTCTCCGGTATCCCGGTGTTAATCAAAAACAAATGTTACGGGAGCAGTGAAGTGGGGCAGGCAATTAGTCTCTCGTTGTTCAGTGTTCAGTTAGGGCCAAGTCATCCTCAGCTGAAACGGTCCTCGTTTTCACATCAGAATTCATTAGAACATAGCCCGTTCCTAGCATCTGTTTGCAGCGCTGAAACTCGTATCTCGTTCGCCCGAAGACAATACTGTGGCACAAAAAGCCGGCTGGGACTTCCGTTCTTTCGGTTTCGCCCTCCCGAGATTCTATGTGGTCGCCCGAACGAGTTTGTGCTGGTGGAGCTACCATCCCCCAGGGAGTCTTCCGGGGTTGATGAGCCAACAAAAAAGACGGCAAATACAGGTTACTAACAAGTAGCGTGTGCAAGATGAACACTGCCAAGCAAGACAGGCGAGCTGCTGGCGAACAGCCAACAGCTGGGACACGCCTACCAGAGACATGCTAGCAAAGACAATCAATAACAGACACGCGCTAGAGCGCACGCGCTTTTGTGTGTGTGTGAATTGAACACAAGCATCCGTGCGTATGTATGTGCGCTGGCAGGTAAGAGGGTGGAGGGGTAAGAACAACCACGGATTTGACTACAGACACGTGGTCATGAAGACAATCAATAGTAGACAGGCCAGGGAGCCAATGAAACAACGAAAGGCAGACAGACATCGATAAAACACGCGCGTGGCTAGTAGCTAGGCCTAAGCGACAGGCCGCTTGCTGGTGGGTTCCTAAATACATGTTCAGGCTTGTGCGTGTCTTAGCTTGTCCTACTGTAGTAGCCAGCGATTGACACTTCATTTAAACAGGTCACTGAGTGCAGAACCGGATCCCCGTAGACACGGTTTCATACCAGCAACCAGCTCGCTCTCCGTGATCTAAAAAGTGCTGGATCAGAGCGACCAGCAGGCTAGTCGTCTGAAGTGAGATCCGAGTAGGATTCTTGACATCCGAACCAGAGTAAGCACAAAAATCCCCGTACAATCGGTAGGTTAGCGATATCCATAGGATTTAATGTTTTTTTTTTTACTTAAATTAAAGCCTGCAGATTAGCCGCTGGTCATTGGATTTTGCGTCACGGGCTCGCGTCATACACTAGCGATGACAAGCAGTGAAATTTTCATTGCGCAATTCGGCACGCATAACGAATGCACTGACAGCCAAAAGCCACAGGAAATCTTTGAAACTGGCGTAGATTAAGAAACACAGGCCGACTGTGCTTAATTCAGTTCTCGGGTAACCAAAGCTGTATGAATATCGCAGTCGGGAGCATTGAACTTATTATTACGTCTGCTACCGCCATCACAAAACGCAGTAAAGTTGTATATCAGAACAAAAATGACATATGTATGAAAGTTTAAGAGTCTCTCTCTTTTACGTATGCTGATCGCATTGATCCCCGCAGTGTCCGATCAATAAATGAAATCGGCTACCGTAACAGGAGCCTTGCGAAAGGTCGCACGTGAAAACCAACGATATTCCAGAAACAAGGACCCAAACGTCGTGACAGTTCCACCCTCCCGCGGATCCCTCCAGGTCATCGAACCCAATGAGAATGAGTTTGAAAGAAGATATTCTGCTATAGAATTCGGAGTGCACATTTCTAATAAACTCTCAACTGTCCTGGACCATTAAAATAATCTGGTTCGTTTTCTACTCACAAGCTTGTGGCTGATAGTCCAGCAGAGTTAAAATTAAACTCACTCAACCTCAATGGTTCACGGAACAGGGGAATCACCACCGGCAATGCGCGGTTATACAAAGATGTATATGGATGTTTTTATCCTAGCTGAACGGATAAAGTATGGCAACCAACAATATCATTGGTGACGGACGACTTAATCATAAAGATGAGATGATAAAAAGTGCTTTCTGCTTGGTTATCCCTCTGCCTCTCGACTTCCCCTGTCTAGGCTTGGGCAACCTGGCAGTATCCTAGCCCTCGTGCAACCTTCAGGTGGCATGGCAGTTAGGCACCGGAGGGATGGACGATTTTTTAAATTTTTTTCTGACGCCCTCTGTAAAAACCCAAGGGGACAAACACGTCTTCCCCTAGGGTACTGCTTGCTGCGGGGGGGAGGGGGGAGGTGCTCCAATAAAACAGGAGCATTGAGATAGTGGAACAGCGTCTATGAGGCCTGATAGTGTGAGTACCGAAGGTGGCCTGTTAAGTGCTCGTTACTAAAAGACGTTGTACTCGGGCATTGCCGTTGATCGTGC